ATCACAGTTTGTAGAGTTTTCAGTTTGTAATCAGCTGGCTGCAAGGCAGGGTGGCATGGCAAACTGGTATCACAAAGCAGAAACAGTTTATGGTGGGCAAAAGATAGCAAAGCAAACAAGAGAAAAAATCCTCAGTCTCTCCTTTATATTCTGTCCAGGACACTAGGATAAGGACGGTGGACTGATTTGGTAATCACCCACCCTTAATCCTAGCACCCTTAATCTTAGCATTTCATCACAAATCTATCACACACCCTAGATTAAGTTACCTCAGAAAAAGTCCCACCTATTACTGCATGAGGCTTTGGAGGCCATCTAGACACAAACCATAACAACGGGGTTTCAGTATACAAGTAAGCAAGGCTTCCAGAATACCAAAAACTATGATACAAAGAGAAGGTCACCAAAACACGTAATTATTTACTTGCCACATGACCAACAAAAGAATTTTAAAAGCAGTTAGAGGAAAACAGAAAATCACACATAAAGGCAAACCCATGAGAAATAGAGCAGACTTCTCTACACAGACCTTAAACACCAGAAGAGCTGGAGTGAAGCATTTCAGGACCGACAGCAAATAGCTTCCAACTTAGACTAACATACACAGCAAAACTGTCCTTCAAAATAGATGGAAAAATTAGGATATTTTAGGCAATAGCACAACTCAAGAAATTTATAATTACTAAACCAGCACTCCATAAATTACTGAAGAATGTCTTATACAGACATGAAAAAAAACAATAAAGCTAAAAGCCCAGATGGAATGAAAACATGGAGCAAGTTCAATTGATAAACAACAATAGCATAAGATTAGTCCCCAACAGAGAAAGAGTGCAATGATAATAGCTGATCAGCACCTCTCACTAGTATCTCTCAGTGTTAATGGCATCAACCCTCCCATTACAAGTCACGGATTGGCAGGCTGAGTCACAAAATAGAATTCAACAGTCTGTTGAATTCAAGAAACTCATCTAATCTAAAAAGGCATTCATAGTCTAAAATTCAAAGGATGGAAACCAAGTATTCATGCACCAGAACCCATTAAACTAGTGAGGGTTGCAATACTGATGTCAGAAAATCTGAATTTAAGATCCAATTGACCAGAAGAGACAAAGAAGGTCACTACAGAACAGTCCACGAAGAAAGGAAAAGGGGCTTGCAGAAAGACAGTGGAAGACTAAGCAGCAATAAGTCAGCCTCTGCAAGAGCTGGAATCCCAAAACTCAAAAATAATAACTGAAGAAAGAAAAGAAGGGGGCAGGTGGGTCCCCTGGGCCCAGGAAGGATCTGAAAGGAAAACAGGAGTCCACAGTGAGGTGACAGATGCAGACCAGAAAAGGGAGGGGAAATCTGCCCTTTTGTTCTAGCCTCTGGCATGCAAAGTAAGAGTCAGACCTAATCAAAAAAGGCACAGTGAGGGTAGGTGACTCCAGAGGCCTCCAGGGAGAAATGCACCAGTGGAACAAAGCAGTGGATGCTGTGTGCCACAACAGCTAGTGAGTGACATCACCCCTAGACAGGGTGCTTGGTCACAGGCCATTTGGGGGAGGGGCCAACTAAACCCAGGTCTTGGAGAAGCCATCGGTTGGCTTCATCTCAGGGTTCCCAGTGTTGAAATCCCACAGTCACTGGGTGAGGAACAACTGATGGAGAGGCACAGAGTGTGAGAATTGTGGTCAGGCTGGCAAGAGACACCCAGAGGATTATAGGCTGAATGGTTCAAGCCCTAACACCATGACCAGAAACCTGGAAAAGCAAAAACATCTGTAGATCTGAAAGTACCAGAACAATACACTAATCCTACTGAAGACTTACTGAGATTATCCAGCAACCTATCCTAATGCTATCACAGGCTTGCTGGGATTATCTAGCATGGGTCTGGGTGCTCACTGCCTACTCTGTCTACCCACAACAGTGCTCCAGAGTGTAGGGAATTCAGCAGGATGCAGTGGGATTTTGAGGATTGCAGTCTCTTGTCAGTTATGAAACATATAACAAAGGCTCAGTGTCACCTCTTTCCTCAGAGAGACATAAGTCACTGGAAAGGAGTGAAGGGCCCCAAGTCTTACAGGTGGCAGTACTAGGCAGACCTGTCTTCAGCCCATGAAGGGTAAAGAAGAGGCAGCAAAGAAACCTAGAATAGGCCCGGGGATTTGGCTCAGTAGTGCCGCTGCCTGCCTGGCAAGTGGAAGGTCCTGAGTTCAAACCCTGGTACAAAACAAAACAAAAAAGAAACCTAGAATAAAAAGCCAGATCTTTTCTACAAGGTTAAAACAGAAGGGTTGCCAGAATCAGCTTAAGTTAAAACTAAAAATGGAGTTTTCTTTTTTCAGCATTGCTGAATCTTGGTGTCTTTCGGTCAAAGTTACAGCCCTGTGTCTGTTCATGGACTATTTCTATCCAATCCCCTTCTCCTAGTGATGTCATCCAGACAGTATTATCACAGTGCTGCATCTCTCTGTAACACAGGAAAATAATACCAAATCATATCAATCGAAGCAAAACAAAACCAGAAAATAAAACCCTGAATAGACATCCCTCATCCATACATTACTCATAATATTGTTCCAGTTAGTGCTTCAGAAAAACATCATTAACACTGAACTCAACACAGGAAACAATCTCCTGTTTCATATTCTAGAGAAAATCACTTCGACCAGAGTTGAAAGAACAAGTCTACAAATGATGCTTAAATTAGCAAGAGAAAATGTCTTGATCAATCCAAAGGAAAGGAGAAACAAAAAGCATTGAAAATGTACTAAATACATCTAATCTCCCAAAGAGCACTGCTAATATCCTTGGCTCCTTTTAAACTGCTCACTGTATTCTCCTTGACCTCTAGTCAGGAATATTTCTGTAACCAAAGCCTATTTCATGATAAAAACATAAATATCTCATGTACTTTAGTGAATAGGGTACACTGTCAATCCCTGGTGATTTCCCCTTGGTTGCCCGTTCCTGACAGAGCAGTGAGTCCTGCTGGTGCCCAGCATGTCGAGCAAATATTGTACTGCACACCTCTAGTGTGAAAAAATTAATAAAATTCGAAAGTCAAACTAGGCTTCAATTGCATTCTTATGACTTTTCTTTTATTCCTCAGTACTGGAAATTGAACTAAGGGTGTAATGTATGTTAGACAAGTTATTTAGTAGAGAAACATCTGCAGCACTTTTCTGTTTAGATAAGGACTTCCTCAACTGCTTAGGATGGACTTGATGTTGCAATACACCTGTCTCAGTATCTCATGTGGCTGGGATAAACGGTGTGCACTACCATGTTTTACTGATGTTTAATTTACTTAAGCTCTGGAATCTTGGCTGGTAGTTGTGAGTAAAAAAACCTACATTTTTGCCTGTCAAGGTGGCAGATGTCTGTCATCTCAGCCATCCAGAAGATCCAAACAGGATGGAAAGTTTATTGGACAACTTAGAACTTGTCTCAAAATACAAAAAAAGAAATCACAATGTGTGGGGAATATAGTTCAGAACAAAAGTCTGCAGTCCAATCTCTTGTGCAATAAATACATCAACCACATCTTTAAATCATTAGTATCATGGAGATATCTCTTTCCATCACACTTACACAAGATGATGGTGTCTTCCTAGTTCTTAAGCCCAGAAGGCCAAGAAGTTCTATAATTTTCAGTGTTTCCTCAAGAATGACTAGGTTACCAGATCAGTGATAATGGAAGACATATTCCTAACATTTAGAGTTTCTCTCCTTCCTGCTTGCCTGCCTGTGATCCTGGACCCGCTCTCACGGTGAACTAGCACACGCCCCTTCCTTTTTCATCACACCAAGAAGGTAACCTCAGAGAAAGACCTTCTGTTGTCAGTGCTGATTTTGGAAACCTCCAGCATCCAAGCCTCTCACTTTCTTTCTCCTCCTGTAGTTCTTCCCCTCTCAGTAGGAAATGTTTCATCCTAAACCATCTTATGGATTGCAGAGTTTAACTCTGGGGCTTTATCCCTAGTTCAATACTCCTTTATTGCAAATGCATTTCAGTATTCAAAACAAAACTACATAATCCAAAGCGTACAGCAATGTTATGAGGTGGCACCCCCGCTTTTCCATTCCTACCACAAATCCACACAGATAGCCGTGTTCAAAGTGTTTCTTTGAGTGTGGTAACTTGCAGACCCTTTTGGAAGTTCTCCTTAGAGGGACACTTTCAGCTGCCCTTGCTAACATACTAACATCCCCTCCATACTTCTCAGCATTCTTTTTTTTTTTGGCACTGGGGATTGAACTCAGGACCTTGTGTTTGCCGGGCAGGTGCTATGAGGGTGAGCTACATCCCCAGCCCTTTTCTCAGCATTCTAAATGCCATGGGAAGACCTCACTTAAATGGTTTATTTGTGAGCAGAGGTGACACCTAAAACACTAAGGTGACAAATTTTTCCAATGCTCTGTGTGTAACACGTGAATTCACTGCATGCTTGGCAAGTGCTCTATCAAAGAGGTACATCGCCTTCAATGGTAAACATTTCTTTGGATTTTCATGGCCTTTCTCAACAGCTATCAGGAGTTTGGCAATGTGATGATGTATTTTAAATGTAGGATGTCGCTATGATCAAAAAGCCCTTTTGCTCAAGGAATGAAGCTTTGGGTTTGAGACTGCACGAGACATTTATAAAGTGCAGGTCCTCCAGGTGTGCTGGAGGGAGAAATAAGACCGGGGAACCAATACACCAGAGTCCCCTCAGTTCAACCCCTCACCTGAATCATCCCACGACCCAATCTGCCCTGCTCAGGTGGACACCTGGCTGCGGGCTGGGGCTCCCTGAGCCTGCTCTCTGGGCTGGTGTGACCGCTGCTGGAGACAGAATGCTGAGGACCCACAGCTGCACCAGTCCGAACCCAGAGAGTAGGGACAGTGGGTACCCAGTGCTGGAGACAGGAGGACCTCAGATTAGAGCACACAGTGAGACTCCAGTCTGTCATTGCTGGCTCCAGCCACTTCAATTCACACCCCAGCCCGATCACATCCCAATTTGTACCGTCGCCATTGGGTAACTTGAGTGTTGCCGAGGGTCCTTCCCACGCAGTACAGAACCGGTAGAAGCCATGGAGCAATGAGGGCTAGACAGGTTGTGCAGTTCTCAGCCAGGTGCTCAGGTTGCGGAGGTCGGCGCCATGACACCGGAAGAGCCCTACTTCCTGCTCCCCTCTGATTGGACAGGTCATAATACCCGCCTCTCGATCAGTGATTGGCTGCTGCTCGTTGCCAATCCCTGAACTGAGAACGACAACAGAGACGAATCCCTACCTGCGTGAGTGGAGCTCAAATAGCGGATTGTGACTCAGAAACTTCTAGAGCGGCGGCTCTCCCGGATGTCCCCCCGTCCTAACTGGAAGGGATAACTGAATTTACTCAGAGCTTGCTCCTGGCTTTTCGGAGCTTCCGCTGTTTTGTTTTGTTTTTTTCTTTTAGATGTAGCCTGGTCGTGTAGTTTAGGCTGTCCTTGAACTCACCAAGTACCCAGGCTGCCTTTGAGCTAGCTGTGATCTTCCTGCATCGGCCTCCCCCATGCTGGAATCAGAGCTGTGCGCCAACACGCCTGAATGCGCCCGTATTCTTGCGGGGCTCCGTGGGCTCTTCCTTTGACTGGCCCCTCAGCATGGGGTCGAACGTGTACTATGATAATGCCAGTTACTACACCATGGAGAAGTCACAGTCGTGAGAGAACTGGGTGGGTCTGAGCACAGTGAAACAGAGGGAGGGCCTGATGTTGAGCAAGGTTGAAAACTTGGTATCAGGTACCTGGCTTCATGGATATGTTTTTTGTTTTTGTTTTTGTTTTTCCTGCTATGGCCTCTTTATTTCCTATAAACTCGTGCACATTTGTCAAAAATTTAAATATAGACCATGCATACTGACTTTTGGTCTTTTTCCAATTAGTAATATACCTCCTAGTAAATGTTTCTCCAGGTGAAATGATTTTAACATTTTAACAACACTTTTAAAAATCATTTAGGATTGTTTGTTTTTTGAGACAGGGTCTTACTAAGTTGCTAAATTGCCCGGGTTTGGCCTCATATTTATGACCCTCTCACCTCAGTTTGGGATTACAGATATGTGCCACCATGACTCGCTTACAACACCATATTTTAAAAGGCTCCTCATTTAACTATTATAAAAAATTTGGTGCTCACTTCGGCAGCACATATACTAAAAAAAAATTTATTTTGTTTCCTATATCGAAGCATTAGACATTTAAAGTTGTTTCCAATTTTCTATTATTAATAGAAATCAATGTGATGATAAACTTCTTTTGGCTTTTGATATATATTACCAATCTGCTTTATAGAAAAACAATACCAGTTTATATTCATATCAGTGTGTAAGACCGAGGGCCTTACCAAACGCTCCAAGGAGCTGACTAGTGAAGCACACCCAGGAATCCCAGCGGTGCCTTCAGAATGTAAGACCAAGAGCCTTACCAAATGCTCCAAGGAGCTGACTACAGCGAAGAACACCCGGGAAGGAACACACCGGACAAGTTGGGAAACAGACCTTTATTAGTCTGGTCAGACGGCACTCCCAAAGCAAAATAGCTTAGAGAGGCAACTGGCTCAGAATCTGAGGCTGTTTTTATAGGGGGTTGAGGGGGAAGTTAACATATCAAAGAAAAGGGGACAAAGGTTAGTGGTCGACTGTCACATATTGATGGTTAGCAGACATCTGTAGCTTGTTCTAACAATTGTGGTGCCTGGAATATCAGTTCCAGATAAACAAAGAGTTGAGTAGTTTACTCTGGGACCCTAGGTCGGTTACAGATCCCTATCTAGCATCTCTAGACTAACAAACATCTCCATCCATTAACTCACATTTTAATCACAATGGGGCTGGAGGATCTAGCGTCCTTAGACTAACAAGCATCTCCATCTATTAACTCACATTTTAATCACAATGGGGCTGGAGGATCTAAGCGTCCTTAGACTAGACTAACAAGCATCTCCATCTATTAACTCACATTTTAATCACAATGGGGCTAGAGAAAAAGGGGCAAAGGTTATGCAGTCCCACAAGTGGACTGTGGCAATGTTTAGTTTACTTAATCTTTACCAATATTTTTAAAATCTCTTCTTAAATAATCACTAGTTAGATAGATGCCGTAACTTCTGAAGGAAGCAGGTGGTTGTTCTATGGGGAAAAGTATTATTGATACTCAGCTCTGTCTGGTCCATAGTGCTTTTCTGATACTGTAGACAAATGAGTGCAGACTAGAATGGCAAGTCCAGGTCTTTCTGCAGGTTTTTCAGAAGAGTAAGGAGGCTTATTCAGCCATGCAACCACCTGTTCTCTTAAAAAATGGTCAGAGAAGACATTTGCTTCCCTTGGAAGCTGGGGCAAGGGGGTTGCTATGTATTTAATTTGTATTTAAATTTTTTATTCCCTTCTCTTTTTATTTAATTCTTTACTCAAGACAGGATCTCACTATGTCATTCAGGCTGGCTTCAAATTAATGATCCTCCTGCCTGAGCCTCCCAAGTTCTGGGATCATAGGCATATGCCACCACTCCCAGCTTCTTCATTTTTAGATTGCAGGTGTGTATCACCATGTCTGGCTTATGTCTACATTCTTTCTTCTGTCAGTTCAAATCCACTGTTGAATTCCTCCAGTGAATTTTTTATTTCAGTTATTATGTTTTTCAACCTGTAATTTCCATTTGGCTCTGTTTTATTTGTTTATGACATTCTCTATTTGATGCAATACTGTTACATCTTCAGCTTCTTTAAACATGGCTTTCTTTAGCTCTCTGAACATGTTTCTAGGCTACTTTAAAGTCTTTTTCTAACAAATCTGACACCTCGCCTCTCTTACAGGCAATTTCTGTTGTCTGGTTTTGGAGGGTTGTTTTTTTTATGTGTGAGTTATACTCTCCTGTTTCTTTGTATACCTTGTAATTTTTGGTTGGAAACACTTTGCAGTGATGCTGGGTACTGGTTCCCCGCCTTCTCTAGAGCTCATTTATTCATTTAGCAAATGACTGTGTTATTTTAGTGAAGTCCATTTTCCTTGTACCATGTTCAGCTCTAATCTTGGTTCTTTGGGAGGCAGCTTAGCCAGGCACACTCTGGAATCAAGAGGTTTTGGTAGGGCTGACTTCCTTTCTTCCCTGACCACATACAGCTGTTAGGCCACCCTATTGTCAGCTTATGGCTATCATGTTTTCAGCCATGTCCTGTGGCATAAGTTGCTCTACGTTTTATCTGGCCCAGTTCTGGTATCTTTGGTTTTTTGGTTTGTTTGTTTGCTTTTTTTTTTTTCGGTTGGTACCTTTCACCACACTCCACCATCCTCGTGAGTGCCTTTAGACTGTATTTCTTCACTCTTTTCAAATGAAAGCAGTTCTTTTGAAAGAATTTAAAAGCCTTCACTGAACATCCAGCCTCTGTGAACAAGTTCTTTGGATCATCTATTGTAACAGAAGGGGAAATGTTGGAGAGATGCAGTGTGGCTGAAGATGGAAAAATATTCTGGAAGTTTCTAGAGCCTGGCTTTTTAAAGAGATGCAAAGGACTGTTGCTGAAATCCTTAGTCAGACCTTGGACTTCTTGTCCCTCTCGAGGAAGCTGAACTGTTTGGTGTTTGGTTTTTTTTGGTACCAGGGATCGAACTCGGGACCTTGCACTTGCGAGGCAGGCGCCAGAACCACTGAGCTAAATCCCCGGCCCAACTCTTTGGTGTTTGGACAGTGTAGCACAGAGCATCTTTCCATAAAGTCTCAGACCACTTAGATGGTTCATTGCTAGCTGGGCTTGATTTGCATCTGCCGTCTGAACCAAGGCATTTTCCTTTTTATTAAACATTATCTTCACTCGATGTACATCACCATATACTCCAAATAGGATAAAAAGTCCATGAGGTATGATAAGATCAGTACTGAAATTGGAAACAAGTAGAACAGAATTTCATGGTACACCACCCACCCCCAGGAATGGCCATTCTTCCAGTGACAGCAGAGGAGGTGAGTCAAGCGGACCTAGGGCTCCAGGAACGGCTGGGACTGGCAGACCTGTAGCTTGGGGAAATCCAATGGCTGGGGCAAACCCAGCAGCCCCTGCATATGGTGAAGATATTATGCCTGGTGCACCAAAAGCAGCAGCCATGGGGGTTCAAGAGATGGCTGGCCATCCCCAGAAGGAAGGTCTAAGCGAGTGAAGCCTCTGCTTTTGTCATTATTCTATTTCACATTAAGGCTGGTGAGCTTGGAGAGGTCACTACGCAGAGTGCAGCGTGCATTCTAGATATTCTGGCCATCCAGAGCCATTTTGGCCTAATATGCATTCACTGGGTCAGCATACTGAAGCAGTGCTTGAAATTGATTATTCTTTGTAAAGGTGATAACCTTCAAGACCATGCCAAATTTAGAAAATATCTGATGAAGAACTTCCAGAGTAACAGGGTAAAAGAGGTTTTCAATGATTATCCGGAGTACAGGGCTCTGCTCAGGTAGGACTGTGGCTTCCCTTGAAGGAGCTCCTTGAAGGGCCAGATTTCCCGCCTGGACCCCACTGACAGCCTGCAGTGCAGCTTGGGCTCTCTGGCTTTTGGCTTTCAACATCAAAAGAGTAGTTACCTTTCCAAACGGAAGACCTAATGATATGACCTCCGCTTTGGTGACATCACATGGAATTTTTCGAAGATGGAGAACACAGGCTGGCGAACAGGGAGGTGCCTGTCCTTTAAATCTCTTGTCATTCCCATTAGCATGCACGCTGTTCATGGTAGAAGGGCCCTTAGTGACACCACAAGAAGGAAGCTCATCGAATCTCCGCCATCTATGGCCCAGATCGAGGAGCACACTGTGGGGGACCTGACGGGCCAGCCGCCAGGGCGGTCGGAGGGGGAAGGAGAGTGGTTAGTTTTTTGTTTTGGGGGCTTTTTTTTGTTACCGGGGATTGAACTCGAGACCTTGCGCTTTCGAGGCAGGCGGCTGAGCCACTGAGCTAAATCCCCAGTCCTCCTGGACATGTTTTTGTCACACTGGATCTCTCAATGTTCTCATTTTAGCCAAGAAAATAAATATATGCTCCCCCCAAAGGCATACAATTCTTGAAAAAACTGAAGATAAATTATAGCAATATTCTGCAAAGCTAACCAAACAAAACAACAACCAAAAAAACCCAAACATTTTATCTAAATCAGACTGGCAACTTCTTTTATCAAGGGTCATGATGAAAACCTGAATTCTGAAGACAAACCTATTCCCAAGCCAGAGAACAGGAATGATTGCTGAAATACAAGCCCTACAGTGGATCACTGCCTAGTGAAGCAGTGGGGACAGCTCAGGACCTGAGACTTCAAGGTTCCCCATGCCCTGTAGTTCTCTCCTCACAGA